GCGCCCGCTCGCCCTCCGCGCACTCCCTTCGTGCGCGATTCTCACCTCACCTCCGCGTATCTCGACCGTCGCTCGAGATCGATTGATGCCTTCGAGCTGTGGTTAGCAGAACACACTGGCGTGCCACCCGCCACACTTTACCGAAGCGGGATACTTCTCGCCCGTTTCCTCGCGACCTTCGGCGTGTGGCTTCATGATGCAGGTTTCCCTCATTATATTTTGGTCCATGCCATCTTGGGAATCCAAAGCGCCCATCCGCATTGGAAGGCCTTTCTGACAGAAGCTTGGGACGTAGCGAAACAATGGAAGCTTGCGGAGCCGCCAAAGCTCCGTCCCCCCTTGCCACGCGCGCTGCTGCGCGCCATGGTCGGGCTCTGTCTCGCCTGGGACTGGCCGGTGATGGCGGCCCTGCTGCTCATGGGCTTCACGATGTTCCTCAGGCCTGGCGAACTGCTGGCGTCACGCCGCTGTGACCTGTCGCTTCCATGCGACCGTCTCGAAGTTGAAGGGGATGCTTTTCTTTCGATTCTTGTTCCAAAGACCAGAAGAACGCACCCGACGCAACATGCTCGCTGCTCCGATCGGGGCACGGTGAGGATATTGAATCATGTGTTTGGGAGGTTGGCTTCCACCGATCCTCTCGCCCCCTTCGGCGCGAGCGGCTTCCGTACTCGGTGGAATCATCTGCTTTTGGCTCTGGGCGTCCCTCTTGCCAAAGCAGGTCAGGGGCTCAACCTGACGCCCGCTTGTCTGCGGGGCTCTGGCGCAACAGACTTCTATATCGCTACGGAAGACGTCCCCCGCGTCTTCTGGCGAGGGCGCTGGCGTCAAGCTTCCAGTGCCGAGCGCTACCTGCAAGCCGCCGCCGCCTCCACAGTTCTTGCTGCGCTGCCCGAGCACGCACGGGCTCGTATCTTGTTCTTCGCCACCGCCAGCGACCGCCTTGTCGCTTCGTTCCTCCAAGTCGGCCCCGCCGCTTGGCCTGCCCTGCTTGCGGCCGCCCGCCAAAACCTTGTCACTTCGCAAGGTCCTTGAGCACGGGTATGGCTGCCTCGCCGACATCGGCGACCAGACGGACTCCACCGTCTGACGCGCGGCGCCCCGGCTTGAGCGCGCGGGACGGGCCTGCCCATTTTGGGCCGCCCCGCGCGCGCACGCCGCGGCCGCGCTCGGAGACAGCTCGCTAGCGCGCGAGCGGGAGAATGCTTCTTCTATTCTCTGTGAGCAAGCTCCTGCTGTCTCCGCAGCTTCTCTGCCCCCCTCCCTCCTCTCCCACTCTAAGGCTGACGGGCGCTGCCTCGCCGACATCGGCGACCAGACGGACTCCACCGTCTGACGCGCGGCGCCCCGGCTTGAGCGCGCGGGACGGGCCTGCCCACTTTGGGCCGCCCCGCGCGCGCACGCCGCGGCCGCGCTCGGAGACAGCTCGCTAGCGCGCGAGCGGGAGAATATATATATATATATATATATATATATATATATATATATGTGTGTGTTTTTTCGGGTTCTCCCTTTTTTCGGCTCCAGAAGGGCCCCAGACGGCCAAGAGGCCCCACATATCGTCCTAAGACAGTCCCAGAGGCTCCCCAGAGGGGCCGAAAACGGCCCAAGAGGGCCTCCCTACGGGCCCAAGAGGAGCCCACATCGGCCCAAGAGGGCTCCAAGAGGGCCCAAGAGGGCCCTAAGACGCCCCCAAGAGAGCCCCAAGAGGCCCAAAGAGGCTCCCAAAAGGGCCCCAAGAGGCCCCCAAGAGAGCCCCAAGACGGCCAAAGGCTTCAAGACGCCCCCCAAGACGGCCCAAAAGGGCGCCAAGACGGCCCAAAGTTGTCCCGAAAGGGCCCCCAAAGGGCTCCACACGCCCGCCTTGGGGCCGCCCAGGAGGCCCAAGAGATGCTCAATAACACCATGGCTCCCATCAGCGAGACGGGAAGTAACAAGCTCTTGACACCAAGGCTCCTCAGAGCGCGGTGACGTGGAAAGCTCGTCACACCAAGGTTCCCAAGAGCGAGCGGCAACGTAAAAGTCTCTGAACACCAGGGCTCCCAAAGGAGACGGTGACGTAACAAGCGCTTCACGCCAAGGCTCCCCAGAGCGAAGGGTGCCATGAGTTCTCTCGGGCAAGTTCCCGAGGCGCTCTTTCCGTTTCCGTGCCGGCCCAGGTAACGGAAAGAGCGAGGTATGAGTGATGACGTTGAGTTGGGGCGAAGCCCTTAAGGGAGGGGTCCAGGGGAGGGGCGAGGCCCGGATGCAGAGTCTAATTGCTGTTTTCGGGTTTTCCTTTGGGTTTTTGTATGTTTTTCGGATTATCCCCTTTTTCCGTCCCAGAAGAGCCCAAGACCGCCCAAGACAGCCCCAAGACGTCCCAAGAGGCCTCCAAGTCGCCCAAAGAGGCTCCCAAGAGGCGTCCCAAGAGGGCCCCCAGAGGCCAAAATCATTGATTTTCCTTAGTGAAACGTGCATGTTTAGCATATACGGCTTTGCGGCTTTCACGGCGTTGTCGACGGCCAAAGAGGCCCCCCAAACCGAGCCAAGACGGCCCAAGAGGCGCCGAAGACGGCCCAAGAGAGCCCCAAGACGGCCCCAAGAGGGGGACCACGAACCGAAAAGTCTAGCATTTCCCCCCAAGACGCTCCCAGGAGGCTCCAAGAGCCCCCCAAGAAGCCCCAAGAGGCGCCCAAGAGGCGTCCCAAGAGGGCCCCAAGAGGCCCAAATCATGGGCCTCGCATATACGGCTTTTCGGCTTCCACGGCGCAGACGACGGCCCAAGAGGCCGCTAAGACCGCCGCAAGAGGCTCTCAAGAGGCCCCCAAGACGGCCCAAGAGGCGCCGAAGACGGCCCAAGAGGGCCCCAAGACGGCCGCAAGAGGGGACCACGAACCGAAAAGTCTAGCCTCTAGCCTTTCGCCCCAAGAAGCTCCCAGGAGGCCCCAGGAGCCCCCCAAGAAGCCCCAAGAGGCCCCCAAGAGGCCCCCGAGAGGCCCCCAATAGGGCTCCAAAGGGGCCCCAATAGAACTCCCAAGAAGGCCCAGAGACGCCAAATAAAGAGCGATCGGTAACGCAAAAAGCTCGTCACACCAAGGTTCCCAAGAGCGAGCGGCAACGTAAAAGTCTCTGAACACCAGGGCTCCCAAAGGAGACGGTGACGTAACAAGCGCTTCACGCCAAGGCTCCCCAGAGCGAAGGGTGCCATGAGTTCTCTCGGGCAAGTTCCCGAGGCGCTCTTTCCGTTTCCGTGCCGGCCCAGGTAACGGAAAGAGCGAGGTATGAGTGATGACGTTGAGTTGGGGCGAAGCCCTTAAGGGAGGGGTCCAGGGGAGGGGCGAGGCCCGGATGCAGAGTCTAATTGCTGTTTTCGGGTTTTCCTTTGGGTTTTTGTATGTTTTTCGGATTATCCCCTTTTTCCGTCCCAGAAGAACCCAAGACCGCCCAAGACAGCCCCAAGACGTCCCAAGAGGCCTCCAAGTCGCCCAAAGAGGCTCCCAAGAGGCGTCCCAAGAGGGCCCCCAGAGGCCAAAATCATTGATTTTCCTTAGTGAAACGTGCATGCTTAGCATATACGGCTTTGCGGCTTTCACGGCGTTGACGACGGCCAAAGAGGCCCCCAAAACCGAGCCAAGACGGCCCAAGAGGCGCTGAAGACGGCCCAAGAGAGCCCCAAGACGGCCCCAAGAGGGGGACCACGAACCGAAAAGTCTAGCATTTCTCCCCAAGACGCTCCCAGGAGGCTCCAAGAGCCCCCCAAGAAGCCCCAAGAGGCGCCCAAGAGGCGTCCCAAGAGGGCCCCAAGAGGCCCAAATCATGGGCCTCGCATATACGGCTTTTCGGCTTCCACGGCGCAGACGACGGCCCAAGAGGCCGCTAAGACCGCCGCAAGAGGCTCTCAAGAGGCCCCCAAGACGGCCCAAGAGGCGCCGAAGACGGCCCAAGAGGGCCCCAAGACGCGAACCGAAAAGTCTAGCCTCTAGCCTTTCGCCCCAAGAAGCTCCCAGGAGGCCCCAGGAGCCCCCCAAGAAGCCCCAAGAGGCCCCCGAGAGGCCCCCAAGAGGGCTCCAAAGGGGCCCCAATAGAACTCCCAAGAAGGCCCAGAGACGCCAAATAAAGAGCGATCGGTAACGCAAAAAGCTCTTCACACCAAGGCTCCCAAGAGCGAACGGTGACGTAAACAAGCTGCTAAGACCAAGGCTCCCAGCAGAGAGCGGTGACGAACAAGTTCCTGACACCAAGGCCCAGCCAAGGCTCAGGAACGGGCGGCAACGCAACAATCTCTGAACACCAAGGCTCCCAAGAGCGAGGGGTGACGTCACAAGCTCTCAACGCCAAGGCTCCCAGTACGAACGGTGGTAATTTCGGTCCAGATTCTGAAGCGCTCTTTCCGTTTCCGTGCCGGCCCCAGGTCTAATGGTTCCCTCCTGGGGCACTGACCCGACCGCCACCATTGTTCAGCCTCGCGAGGAGATCCTATGCAGTCGCCACATTCATCTCACGTGAGGCGACGTGGAAAATGCTTCGCCTGCGAGGGTCGAAAGAGCCGACATCTCTTTGTCGGCGGAAGGCCAGCGGAAGGCCAGCGGAATTCGGCGGAGGTAAAACGGGGGCGGCTTCGCGGGCGGAAACCGGCGAAAGCTCGGCGGAAGACAGTGGAAGTGAGACTCGCGTCGGACGAAAGGTAATCAGGCAGGAGGGGGGGTACCGGGGAGGAGGAGGCGGCCTTGGTGAGAATTGCTGCTGCGCCGGTTCTCAGTGCCCCCGGAGGCCCCGGGAGTAGGGCGCCGCTCAGGGCTCCTTCTCTTGCAGCCCTCGCTGCCCCGCCACTGCTCGCCCCCTGCCGCGCGAGGCCCCGGGGGCTGGCCGGAGGCCCCGCGAGGGGCGACGACGCTCGAGAGCCCAGAAGACGAGGTTGTCTGGGCGGTCGAGCCTGCGAGAGCCTCGATCGATCGAGGGCCGCAGCGTTTCGAGAGCGTTCGAGGCGCGAGGCCCAGCGCGCGGCCCCGGGCCGCCAG